AGTTCATTTCCATGTGCACTGCGGAGCTGTGTCCCAACCTTCCCAGAGCGTCAGCCAGAGGTCACGTGCCGTCGGCACGCAGAAAGCTTCCTGCACACGCACCGTGTGCGGGGCTTTTTAAAAACATACTTTTGACCATCGTAAATCAAGAAAATGGCATATTTCTGTTCTGGTCTTTCTGGGCCAGATTTTATATTGGTTTTCGGTAAACGTCTATCTATTATATTCTAGTCTAGTAGCTTAACCTGATACTGACTTGATACAGCATGAAGTTTCTAGTGCCACACACAGTACTTAGAAAACCTGTAGCCTGACCCACGTGGGGGGTAAACATAACGTCTCCCCGTCCCACGATGCATGTGGAATGTGTAGCCGCACCTAGGAGTTGAAATGGCCTGCGGGGATGAGCGAGGCACGACCCACGCCCTCGGTTCGGTTCTGTTGAGACCTGAGTGTGGGCTTCCACCTCTGCCCTCGGGCCTCATCGGGGGCGGGGCCTGGGGGCGGAGGCTGTTTGTATCTGTCCAGATCATTACTTCCCTTTTCCTTTTTTGCTGGTTCAACACACTTTTTTAAGGGGTTGGGAACTGAAGATTTTCTCAAAAGCTTTCATGAATTTAGAGCATTCCGGCCAATATAATAAAACGTGTTGAGATCTCAGACTTTGTTCTTTTATCTCAGTCATATCAGTGCAGCAGCCTGACATATCCGGCCATCGAGTCAGTGTTCAGCACAGACACTCGCACGCAAGGAGGTACTAGTTCTTGTCCTGATGGGGGCTTGGCACCATCGCTGGTGCCGTTAGACATCTCGGTTATGGTGACAGCTCCAGACCTGCCCGCTTTCTCTAACCTCTAACAGAACCATGCGAGCATCTTCGGGCTGTGGGGTGACCCATCACACCCAGCACTGAGGACCGGAGGCTGTTCCCCGCTCTGGGAGACGGACGGAGATGCAGAAACGTAAAATGAACCAGTTTTGTAGGGTGATGACCTGCACATCACACAGGGACATGCTGCTGCTGGCTCACCGGCCCCTCCGTGGCGGGGCTGCGCCTGTCTACTTCCGTGACCTCGTGTGTGATTGCTTTCTGTGGTGCAGCAGCGCTCGGGTGGACGGCGCATCTCCACGTGTGTTCACTAATGTGGACGGTGCATCTCCACGTGTGTTCACTAATGTGGGCGGCGCATCTCCACGTGTGTGTTCACTAATGTGGACGGCGCGTCTCCACGTGTGTTCACTAATGTGGACGGCACGTCTCCACGTGTGTTCACTAATGTGGACGGCACGTCTCCACGTGTGTTCACTAATGTGGACGGCGCATCTCCACGTGTGTTCACTAATGTGGACGGCGCATCTCCACGTGTGTTCACTAATGTGGACGGCGCATCTCCACGTGTGTTCACTAATGTGGACGGCGCGTCTCCACGTGTGTTCACTAAAGTGGACGGCGCATCTCCACGCCTGTTCACTAATGTGGACGGCGCATCTCCACGCGTGTTGAGCGCTCAATGCGGGCAGCAGTAAGTCCTAACGAGCAGCAGTTCTGGTTCACACCTGCCCGGCCTCACCTCTGTTCTGCAGCGAGCGCTGCGCGGGCCACAGAGCCTGCTCGTCTCTCCACCACATCACGAGCAGCAGCTCGCCTTCCATCCTGTCCTCTGAGAGGCTCACACTCCCTGGCGGGGGATGGTTCTGTGCGGAGGGCAGTTCAACTGCCCCTGTGGCTCAGCACCAGGAATGGTCCCTGCAAAGAATGGCGACCTGCTCGTGCCGAAGAGGAGGACTCGGAACTGGGAGGTGAGACGGGACCGCCGAGTCCGCGGGTGGACCTGTAGCTAAACCTCGTGTGTCTGTGTCTGGCCGTCGCTCTTGGCATTTCAGGACGTCAGACACCCACTGACACGCTCCTGTGCGCTCACCTCTGCGTGCGGACGCTTGCCAGCTGCCGAGCTCTGTAAACACTGAGGTTTTTTTCAGGTGGTTGCGTTCTTCGTCTGTTACCGCTCCTCTCCGCTCGACTCAATAAGCTCGCGTTTGGAGGGTTGTGTTGAGAGTTTTCACGTGGACTGTGCGTCCTAATGGAGGTGCTCACTCCCGGGGGGCAAGGTGAATGACAAGGTGTGACAAGGTGTTTCCCCGAGTGGGGCCCACGGGCTGTGCAGGAAGGAGAGCTCAGCTCCCAGAGACAGAAGCTGTTCAGTGTCCACGTGAGTGAGACTGTTTTCTGAGGTGGGTGCCCGAGGGGCTCGAACTTGTAAACCGTCGTGAGACACCACAGTTGGGACCTTAAAGAGCTAGTTATGCATTTTACAATCCAGTCGTAAAAATCATAACAGAACTCGACTAGTAAACTGAAGTCGCAAGACACGCCTAACTCTGAAACGGTGGTTTCCCACAAAGGCACGCTTTTAAGGTAAAGCATTTGGCCTGTTCGCTGGTATGTTATCTTTTGCACTATAAGAGTGACCGTTCATGTCATCAAAGCTATTTGAGAAGGGATATGATGGCCAAGCCGCTGTGGCTCAGTGGTTGAGCATCGGCCCATGAACCAAGAAGTCACAGGTTCGATTCCCGGTCAGGGCATACACCCAGGTTACAGGCTCAGGCCCCAGTAGGAGGCGTGCAGGAGGCAGCTGATCCATGATTCTCTCTCATCGATGTTTCTATCTTTCCCTCTCCCTCTCTCTAAAAGTCAATAAAAACATTTTTTAAAAAGAGAAGTGATGTTACGTATTTTACTCGGAGAAGTTCAGCTTGGCTTTTCCTCGGATCTGTACTGTCGGTCTGTGCAGCCTCTCCTTGTTGGCCAGCTGGGTGTGTGTGAGCTCCCCTAGACGGAAGCCCTGGGATGTCCGGCTAAAGGTCTTTTATTGAATCGGTGGAGCCATTCAGTCAAGGAATCAATTTGGTCCTCTTCTCACCACCCTTCTATCCAAGCGATTTGGAAGGAGAGACCGTGGGGGGGGGGGGGGGGGGATAAAAGTTTAGCTTTACTTTACTTTGATTCTAAGCTTATATCTGCGTTAAAAAACTTGAGGTTTCTGAAACTAGTCCCTTCGCTTCTGTCAAGTCAGTTTATTGGACTGGGGCCACTTCAGTGCTTCATGTTGTGATTGAGGAGCTAACTGCCTGTGTGTTCTGTCCACAGAGGATTCCATTCCACTAAACCCCATCGGCTTGGTCATTCCAGCCCCGCTGGGTCTCAGGGGTGGAGACTGGAGTGAAGTTTAAATTGCAGCCCTAGCCTGTGGCTCAGTGGTTAGAGCGCCGGCCCTCAGACTGAAAGGTGTCGGGCTCCCTTCCAGTCGAGGGCACATACCTCAGTTGCAGGTTCAATCCCTGGCCCCAGTCGGGGCACGTGCAGGAGGCAACCAATCGATGCGTCTCTCACATCGATGTTTCTCTCTCTGTCTTTCCCCTTCCCTCCCACTCTCCCTTAAAATCAATGGAAAAATATCCTCGGGGTGAGGATTCACAAAAATTAACAAAATAAAAATAAATTGACTGTAGCCAGCACCTTTGCTGTAACAGCCAGTTGGCCAAGTGATTTACTTGAAATTTGCTGTTGTGGGGAAACAGCCATGTTTAGAATTTGAAACACTTTCACGTGGTTGCAAACTTGAAAGGTAGTGCCCTCAACAGGTCCATGAAAAGGAAGATGGCGAAGCAAACGCCGGCCTGGCCATGTCCTCACCGAGCAGCTCTGGGGCGTGGGCGTGGCCCCGCGGGGCTGCCTTTCATCAGGAAACCTCCTCCGTCCAGTTCAGCTCCTCATCACAGCTGGTCCTCCCCCCAAGCCTCCCAGGCGAGTGGAGCGGCGAGAAAGGCAGATGGGGAGCCCTGGGAGTTGTGACCGAGCAGCAGGCTCTCATCCCAGTGCACTGCGCGGCTCCGGGACAGTAATGCAGGAGTGGGAGCCAGGAAAGGCACCTCCGCCTCATTTTTGCTGGGGCAGGTGTAAGAGGAGGGGATGTAGTGGGAACAGCATTGTCCTTTGGGAATGTTAATGTCCCTCACCCA